CCCATCTAAGCAGATCCTTCTGGTGCTCAATCAGCATGGAACGGAGCCCCAGGAGCTGCTCAGGAAGAGGGTGGCACGCAGCTCCTAATTTAGCAAATCTGTCAGCGTGCATATTACCAAGGCGCTCTGCCTAAGTGCATCTACCGTTGAGCACGTCGGCCACATTCGCATGGCCCTCTACTTTATAACCCCCCCCCCCCCCCCCCCTCGTTTTCAAACACATGCCAAACCTTGGTCCAAAGATGGGCCCGAGGATTCTGGGAAGAGCAACTGATGGCCCTGTCCCAGACACAACCAAGGGTCCCCTGGCAGTCCGTGAAAAACGTGATATCGGAAAACGGTTCAACAAGCTCGGACGCCATTCTGTAAGCGTAATCCTCACCATCTCGGGCCTGTTGCCACGGGGCCTCTTCGCGAGGCACTGGCCCGTAGGCCGCAGAACTCAGGTCACCGAATTCGTTAGTTTGGACCAAGCTCCACCCAGCCCTGCGGATATCTTCGCACTGAGGGTTGATCGCAGATCCATCAGTGAATATCCTACCGCTAAGCCTACCAGAGGCCGGCTTGCTGAACCACAACACTTCACTCGCGGACAGGGAGACAGGAGGAAGGATCAGCTCTCGAGGATGAGGAAGCACCCCAGCAGCATATTTCTCAAGATCCTGGCCCCATTCCTTCGCTCTTCTCGACGCTGCAGAACATGCAGCAGATACATATTGACGTCTGTCACCGTCGAAGGCCTCCTATGAAAAAGTGTGCCCTTGCTGGCCTGGCACAGCTGGCAGATGTCGTCATCGGCCAGCCCGTGGTCCTTAAGGCGAGCCTGAGTCCAGGAACCAAGGGCCAACGCATTTCTCACGCATGCTTTGTGATGTTGTCCCCAGACGTGTCTACGCCCATCCTTCAGGAGATCTCTAGCCCCCTCCCACAGCACAGGCCTACACCAGACCCCGTTGAGCTTTGGCCTAAGGAGGAGAACACGTTTGTCGGCCCAGTGTCCTGCATCACGCTGCGCAAGGCCGCTAACCATCATGGGCGATAGAGATAGCAAGTCAACCACCTCTCCTTGAGCAGTCGAGACCTGTCTGGCTGACGTAGGCGTCCAGCCTAACTCTCTCAGCGTGAGCAAGTATACGTGCGCTGGGCTGGTACATATATTCCAAGGTCTCCTGACCTGCCAGAGGTCGCCCACAGCTCTCTCAACAACCAACTGCATAACATCCAACCCAGGAGATCCATCCCAGATAGCCCTACACCACTGTAGCACAACATTCGTATGGTAAAAACATATGGGTCCGCACGGGCTCCACTTGGGTGCGACCTGAGCCTGAACGACATGAGGGCCCCCGACTTGTCTTTGCTCAAACTACGTGCTGCTGCCAGCCTCATGGTATGCAGCTGCTTGGGACATAGTCCTGCCACCGCAGATCCCCAGAGCCCTGCCGCTCGGGGTCCAGCACGCTGAAGATTGTCCACAAAGGCGCCAGCGTTCTTCAGTCTCAGCAATATTCTGGACCGCTTCGAAGCCTTCAAAAGCCGAGCACGGTCAGTAGGGTTTCGCCGTAGGCGTCTAGCCACAGCGTCACATCCCAATGAACGAACAGCAACTTGAGGCTTGAAACCATACTGCCCCCGACATCCCACAGAGCACCACATCTAACTCCTTGCACGAGGAAATGTGCTTAAGATTTTCGAACCCCTCCTTAAGCATCGCCCCTGCTCCTCCCAGCTGCTCCCCCACGAATCTCGCCGCGCCGATGGACTGCATGGAAACATCGTCGATCACATTCCTGATCATGAGGGAAGGGCGCGCAGCAGTGACTGCAGAGAGAAGCCTATACAGCACCACTCTCGCAAAATATGTAGCCAAACTGCAGCCTGCTAAAATCGCACCTGTCGCGTGCAAGATGGCTGAGATCGCCCCCTGGAACGCGAGGGCTCGAGCGCCAACATACAACTGAAGGGCAGCGCGCGTCCGGCGGAGGCTGAGACCAGTAGCTTTGGCCTCCTCGAAAAGAATAGACGGGGCCACGCGCTCGTAAAACTTGTCCAAATCGCTAAACAGGGCCCCCGAGTGGAAACGCTTTATCCGAGCAAATTCACACATCATCGCATGGTTCCACCCAGCCCTATCACACTCCTTGTCCCTCTCACCCCAGAAGAACTGAGCAGAGTGCGCACGCTCCCAAGACCTGACCACCTGCTGCCGAACTCTGGCCCGGACCCTGAGCACCGAAACAATAAGGGCCAGCGGGCGCAATCCAACACCATCAGGTTTACCATGGAAAACGATGAGCGCGGCATACTTATCTGACAACTTGGGGCACCTTTCCCAAAGCATAAGCAGGTGCGTCAAGCGGCCAACATATTCCACAGGAAGTAAAAACCAACTTCTAGGATTCACACAGTCGACCCCCAGTCCCGTCTCGTGCTTGAAGTTACTAAGGGCCCACATTACTTGTTCACTATCAGGCCTAAGAAGAGGAGGCTCTGCATCTGCTTCGGCGTGCTGCGCAGGCGATAGAGGGCAGTCATGAGACAGCCAATACTTACCCCATTCATCCTGCAGGGCGGCAATCGCACTGTCGCCTCGGAAGGCCCATCCCTCAACAGCACGAGGCCCCTGTGCAGGAGCCTTAACCTTAGAGTAAGCGCGCGCAGCCTTGTCAGCCTTAGCAGAAGCAGCATCCTGGGCCCAAGCCTTCCAGTCCGACCATCTCTTCGCCGAGTGATCTCTAAGCAACTTCTCATACATCATCTTACAAGCTGGCCCGAGGCACCCGATCTCGATCCCCTTAGAGTCCTCGGTCTCGCGAATCAAATCAGGAAGGCTAGGGACCAGACATTGGAACTTGGCACCTAACTTGTCCATGCTCAAGCCGAGAACGGGCGCACGCGCCGAAGGCCACATAGCAGACCCCTCCAGGTCATCTGCAAACGCTGCAGCCTTCACAAGAAGTGCGTCTAGGGCTCGCCAGGCACGAAGGCGAGGAAAACTGTGCGCAAACCACTTACCTTTCAAGACAATGTCCAAAGAAACCTGCTTCCTCATGGAACCATTTGTCCTTCCCGTGTGCTCCTCCATCTCCTCCCCCGCGATGTCAAAGATATGGCATAGTTCAGTTTCAACGTTCTGAACCCATTGGTCCCAAACCACCTCCAAGTCCAGGCCCCCCGCGTCCCCAGTGCTCCAGGACCAGGGCAACTGCAGAGGCTCACGAAGGCATCCTGTCTGAGGCTTAGTAGGGAATACTTTCCACTTTACTCTAACGTGGACTGGTATCGCAAGGCTTACCCCACGTAGAGTAAGTGTCACAGGAGAGTGCGGCGAGCAAGGTGCCTCACTCCATACCTTAATGGAGCTGACACAAGATGGCAGACCTGCAGAAACAATAAACTAATCGTGTTCCTGTCCAGATCCCGCAGCACACGTCTTCCTCCCAGGAGGGATCACCGTAGCCCCAAGACGATGACACCATTCAGCTAACCCAGACGTCCCAGGATACATATTAGCATCGCAGCCTATCACCCAAGGAAGTGCCAGAGAACTGAGATACTTTCCCAGAGCTGCCATCAGAGGAAGGTTGACGCCCTGGACCCCCTGCGAGTGATAAAAATACACAGACAGCCAGATAAGCCCACCTGACAGAAACCCGTCAACACGTCTAGCAATGAGCCTGCCGCGCCCCTCCTCCTCTTCCTCTTCCTCCTCCTCCTCCTCCTCCTCCTCCTCCTCCTCCTCCACCATCCTCCTCCTCCTCCTCCTCACCTCCTCCTCCACCATCCTCCTCCTCCTCCTCCTCCCCTCCCTACCCGCCCTCCCTCCCTCCCTCCCTCCCTCTCCTCTCCCTCCTCCTCCTCCTCCTCCTCCTCCTCCTCCTCCTCCTCCTCCTCTCCTCCTCCTCCTCCTCCTCCTCCTCCCAGTCCCTCCTCCTCCTCCTCCCCCTCCTCCTCCTCCTCCCCCTCCTCCTCCTCCTCCTCCTCCTCCTCCTCCTCCCCCTCCTCCTCCTCCTCCTCGTCCTCCTCCTGCTCCTCCTGCTCCTCCTGTTCCTCCTGCTCCTCCTGCTCCTCCTGCTCCTCCCCCTCCTCCTCCTCCTCCTTATTATTATTATTAGTATTATTATTATTATGATTAGTATTATTAGTATTATTAGTAGTAGTAGTAGTATTATTGTTGTTTTTATTAATAATATTATGTTTATGAGTATTATTAATACTAAAAATATTATTAGTATTATTAGTATTAGTAGTATTCTTATTATTCGTATTCTGATTATTAGTTTTCGTATTCTTATTATTCTTGATATTCTTATTAGTATCGTGAGTGGTATTATTGTTGTTATTAGTAGTATTATTATTCTTATTCTTAGTATTATTATTCTACGCTTTATTTCGTTATTCATTATTTCATTATTTCATTATTATTATCATTAGTATCATTATTATCATTATCATTCTTATCATTATTTTTAGTAGTATTATTAATAGTAGTATTATTATTGTTATCATTAGTATTATTATTATCATTATTATTATTACTATCACTATTACCAGTATTATTCGTATTATTACTATCCCTCCTCCTCCTCCTCCTACAGCGCTATTCTTGAATACTCCTCCTGTAGAAGTGCATGCCCGACTTAAGGCTGCCCAGACATCCGGCTGCTCCGATTTTCTCGATGCCTGGGCCCGTCATCCTGTCATCCTGGTCTGGACCAATTATTGGGGCCGGCCTGTCATCCTGAGCCGTTCCTCGCTCCCGAGGCCCAGCGAGGGCCCCTGGAGGCCGAGAACAGCCCAAAGCCGCCCGCTCTTGCCAGCTCCGTTTCGCTCCTCCGTCCTCTCTCCCTCTGCTCCGCTCCTCCTCCGCCTCCTCCTCCTCCTCCTCCTCCTCCTCCTCCTCTCCTCCTCCTCCTCCTCCTCCTCCTCCTCCTCCTCCTCCTCTTCCTCCTCCTCCTCCTCCTCCGCCTCCTCCTCCTCCTCCTCCTTCCTCCCTCTTTTGGGGGCGTCGCATCTCTGGATGTTCGCTCTTCGACCCCCGCCGACTCGCCCGACCGCTGCGCCGCCGCGGCGCCGCTTCGCCCCCCCAGCGGCGGCGGCGGGCCAGGTCGCCCCCCTGCCGTCTACCACGCCTCCGCGGGCCCGCCACCGCTCGCCGTCGGCCCGCCGGCACCGGCCACCTTCCCAGGCACGCAGCGCGCTGGCGGGCTGCTGGGCGCGAGCTATGACTACGGGGGCGATGCACGGGTGGGAGGAGGGGGAGGAGGAGGAGGAGGAGGAGGAGGAGGAGGAGGAGGAGGAGGAGGAGGAGGAGGAGGAGGAGGAGGAGGGGAGGGAGGATGGAGGATAGGAGGACGCGAGGGAGGAGGACGCGGAGGAGGAGAGAGGAGGAGGAGGAGGAGAGGAGGAGGAGGAGAGGACGCGGAGGAGGAGAAGGAGGAGGAGGAGGAGGAGGGGAGAGGAGGAGGAGGAGGAGGAGGGGAGGAGGAGGAGGGGGAGGAGGAGGAGGAGGAGGAGGAGGAGGAGGAGGGGAGGAGGAGGAGGAGGGGAGGAGGAGGAAGGGGGGGACGCGGAGAAGAGGAGACGAGGAGGACGAGGAGGAGGAGGAGGAGGGAGGAGGAGGAGGAGGAGGAGGAGGAGGACGAGGAGGACGAGGAGGAGGAGGAGGGGGAGGACGAGGAGGAGGCGGATGACCATATCCTCTCGTGCAAACCACATTTTGGAAGCAGCCTGTACAACTTACCTCCTCACTGATTATCATGGTCATTGACACCCTGGAGTTTGATACAGGCTGCTCCCATCAGCACCCCCAGCAACATCACCTTCAGCTAGCTAAGTGACAATAGGGGAAATGCGACCTCTGCAGGTTGGGGATTACCTTACAAAACCCTGGGTAACGGCCCCATACTTGCACACTATCATCATCGTCATAGCTGACATGCAATACGCCTATTATCTTTGTTTCCGCGCGGCTACTCGACACGATGGTGGTATACTATTTGTTGCAGGTTTGGGGTTATCCTGTAAAATCCTGGTTAGCGGCCCCAAAATTGCACATGGTCCGCACACTTCACACGTTCTCACTTCTCCTCACAACGTCTCAACCCCGCCCAGTTGCGCACCCCAGACGCGTGCTCCTGGCCAGCCTGTACCATTACAGGCCAGCCACACGGCCAGCCTACTCTAAAGGCCAGCCTGGCCAGCACAGTTGTTACCTGGGGTTGGTAAAGCGCAGGGACTCTACACTGTCAATAATTTGAGGAAAACCGAAGGTGCTGTCCTCCTTTTACAGCCGCCCACGGCGCGGGTCTAGCAGCACACAGAGCTAACACTAGACACTTCGAGGGAACCTGATACAACTTACCCCACTTACCATGCCCTCAAGGGGCCTTGGGTTCCCAATAAGGATGTACTCCGTTTTTTGCTCACACGCGGCAGCATTCATACGTTCTGGATACGAACATGCAGTCATGTTAAGCAAACCTCTGGCAGACAATAAGCGCCACTCGTTTAACGTGACCTCACCACCTGTTGTTGTTCATGCCCAGGCCACTCAGCGAGCACACAATCTTTCTTTCATGTCCCAGGCGTATACATGAGCAATCTGCCCACGTAAACGTACGGGCCGCACAGACTGCAATCGACAGGAGCAGTTTGTACATGTCTCGGTGTCGTTTGTAACATCTTGCTCTCAGGTATTTCATGTTGCTACAAACTGTTTCTACATATTGCTTCAGGCTCCGCGCATCTATAACCGTACCATCCCGACGTGTTTGCACACACCTGACCTGCGCTCTGGCCAGCCTATATCTATACAGGCCAGCCATCTCTGATAGAACGCTCGGCCAGCCTACCCTATTGCAGGCCAGCTTATATGCACAGCGATAGTCTAGCAAGCCTTGAACAATGCGACGGGGGGAATATTGTTTGGTTGTGTGGGTGGTGGAGGAAGACTCCCGTACCTGGCTAACCTGACTACGCATGTGTTTCTCCCAGCTGGCAACTTACTGGCTACAATGAGTTGCTACTTTGGCACGGCAGTAGGGGAACGACCTGTCATTCCCACTGTGGGCTACTGACCACACGCAGCCCAGTAATATTCAGCAGTGCTAGTCATTGCCTCGACCTCCCCACGCTCCACCTCTCGTTTGCGTTACACTGCCAGAACGATGCGAAACATTCATTGCCAGTGCTGCTATTCACATACGGCAACACACTCGTTCCGCAACAAGTACCTATACTGCAATGTTGGTCGTGACTGACTGGCTTACTTCATGGGGTAGTCGTGTTGCGGAGCGGATACTAAGGTGCATAGCTGCACTTATTCATGGACCTGGCGGGGGCCTACTCGTTTGTCTACTCGTTTCCTCTGCTCGTTTTCCCGCTTGGCCCGCGGCGCCCGCCAAGTTCCCTTTGTTTGCTTGAGTCTAGTCGCGTGCACTGTTTCGCTAACACCACAGGGCAACCTGAGGTCAGTCGAACGTAAAAAGGAGGCGGAGG